AAACTAGGCTTCGCTGGACCACAAACATTCACTCTTCCGAGAATACGCTGGGATGACCCAATGATCGGTGACGAAAGCAGAACGCTGAGAACGAAGAATGCTGGAGGAGAATCGCTAGCACTCACGACGGGCCCTTAAGGAGGACAGGTCAGATAACGGAATGTCGTAGTTTTATCATTTATTTACATGATTTGCCGTTTCCACGTTAATTGCGTCGCTCCATTACCTTTACAACCATCTTACAAGCTAGGTTAAATTACAATATCATTTTTTCATGTAATCGCTAGCGTTTTATTTCAGATAAGATATCAGAAAATTCCCTGCTTATTTTTTCGATATAACCCCAGGAGGGTGATGAAAATTCAGCCTGTAAATATTTTCTTACTGATTTAACGGTAAGAAATTTTGACGATCGTATTTTTACAGTGTCTGTCACACTTTTCAGAGTGATAGGTGTTCTTCCAAAGAAATTTATACTCATATTTACACCAGGTTAATTTTGCCCGTCCCCTGGGCTTTCTGTTTTCGATTGGGTAGGAAACAGTTGTTTCGTCTTCCTTTCTGAAGGTATTCGCAACATTCGCGTATTAAAGAATATATATAACCTTTATGCTAACATCAGAATGCACAGCTGATGAGATACAGCATCATCGATGATTACCTACCATGTCTTCCACGTATTGTAAAAGAAGTACTTTTAGAAAGGATGTCAACTCCGGCTCGTATGAAAATGAAAGTTGGGTTTAGGGTCTTCAAGTTGCGAATTCCATGGGACCTCGTTATCCTCCAAAACTCACAGGAGCAACAAAGCACTGCCATGAAGCAGTGTGTCAGGTTTGATAGAATTGTACACATCAATAAGAAAGAAAGTTTTAAATACAGTGGCCATACTCGTCCCTCCAAAAAATGAAGATTGTAACCGTTAGAATGTCGCTTTTCTTTACACTTTCATGGTGAGGTCATTCCGGTGCCATTCTTTTTATGAAGTTAATGGTGCAGAGCTGATCTCTGTTTTCATGCCAATAGCCAGGAGTGCCATGTCTCAAAGGCTGTCTATGGCTACGTGGCAAGGGTGGCTTCTAGTCTGCTGATTCCTTCCGACAGAGTGATACTCAATTGTTGGCCTGGGAAGGAAAAAAGACGCACGGCTTTGACCAGTACCTGAACTCAGCGCCTCTTGGTCCTGAGATCCGCGCCCTAAACCCGATGTAAAGTAGCATGTGTTAAATTCCTTGCTCCAGGGAATTCGTGAATAAAACAAAGTTTGATTTTGAGCGGAATCCAATCCGACATCACAGAAGTTCGATTCGAAGCAGACTTCTTAGGTATGTGTCACCTCACCCACTCAAGCGCTCTAGTGATTACGTCACGCCCCTATCTATACAAAGAAGATAGCTGTAAACAACTAAATTTTGAGTGAGTAACTCTTCACATTATTTAGCAGCATTCTCAACCGTCATTCATCATGTGAAATATCCATTCATTTTCAATCTTCGCTAATTCTTTCAAGTTGTAGGGCAGCTGCCTTAGGAGGCTTTTTAAATTATCACGGTTTAAGTGTCAAACTGTATAAATCTTGCAATATATCGTTAAACCGTAAGTTCTAATTTGAAAATGAGCGGACGATAACAATCCATTGAAATGGTCGATGCTATTCTTCTACTAAACTACTTTTAGGTGATCATTCAAAAGGTAACACCAAACCTTGGACTTGCCGATGGCGTCTTGCCAACGTTATGATAAATTTACCTTCATAATAATAAGTAATTGATGCCAGATGAGGGAACTGCTTTGGACGGGATCATCCGAGGCTTCAGCCACGTTTGCTACTACAAATCTAAGAACATTTTGACTTGAACGTGCCCGCCTTCTTCATCACGGCATGCTTCCGATTAATGAAGCGCTTTGGATTTATGCCAGAGGCTCTAAGCTCAATGTCAAAAAGTTTTTTTCATCAGTCTTGCCATAGGGAAGACGGTGCCACAAACATTCAGATTTGGTGTTCCCTTGTTTAACACTTATGATTATGTGAACGAGGCAGACGCGTCAGACAGAGCTTCCAACGTTCCTCATCCTCAGCCAGAGTCTGAGCTTCGGCAGAAGACAACTGGAGATTCCTTCCATGTATTTGCACCAGGTCAATCTTGACTGTCCCCTGGGCCTTCTCCCGCTTGGTTGGGCAAGAAACAGTTGCTTGGCCTTCCTTTCTGGAGGCATTCACAACACATGCAGAACGGCAGTCTATCGCTCTCCAATATTTCATTCGAGGCATAGCATCGAGCATTTCAGCAAGACATGTGCATCGTTACCGTTGTCATTCGTCCCTTTACAAATCAGCTGACCAACAAATGGAATCAAGTCCAGATTGTCATTAGGGCTGAACATCATCTTCCTGGATTTGAACAGCTCAACGCGTCAAAATCAAGGTCACAACGCTTGCCAGTCGCCTGTAGGCTTTGCTTCCTACGTACTCTCCGTGCGTTACCACCGGTCTTATGGTCGAAACCGTTCATTACGTTGAACTTCGAATGTAATAATGCAATTTAATCATGCAAATTTTTGAATATGTACATGCATTCGTCTACACCTAAATAAATTTTTACACAGAGTGCCGCATTTCTAATGTGCTTCACCAATTGCGTGCTTTTGTTGGGTTACTTCAAAAATTAAAATATAGCATTCAGTAATGCTAGGAGGAAGATGCTTCTTACTGCTTTCAGAATCCGCATATACACCGCGCACAACAGCAAGACAATGATTGCGAGGTAGTCACTGAAACCGAAGGGGGGGAACTTTACGGCAGGAGGATTCGTGGGGGTAAGAATTAAGTGTTGCCTCACTGACACCATTCTGTACAGCCCAGTTCTGGTGTGCAATAGGATGGAGTCTTTCCGTGCAGCGGAGCTCCGTGAACATGAGACTGTTAAATCTATGTAAAGCAGGTGGATGACATCTCGTTAGGTACGACCAGGGAAGCGGACAGAGCTGTCAAAAACAGTCTGCAAAATGGTTTTAGCCATGAGACAATACTGCAGTTGCCCAGAACTCGCGATTGCACAAATTCATCGTCGCAAAGCCATCTCTCCTTAAGGATTTCCAAATAGTATGGAGAAGGCAACATGCAACACTTTTTAAATTTCAGAGAAAATCAAAAAGGGCTCAAAGCAAGGAAACGGTGAAGACACAAGATAGCTTTCCTCAACTTGTTGGGGAAGTAATGCATATGATCAAACAGCATTAATCAATTATTAATGATCACACCGACAAACCTGATACTTTTAACCGGCATCTGAACTAGATTAGATTCCTCTCTAGTAAGGTTGATGAGATCATGGTTTCCCATGTTTATGGGAATAAAAATACACCCCAGGCAGTTGCTCCAAGTTAAGGACAAATGTATGTGAGTTGGACGAGTCTAACAGTTTCTCCATATCGCTCCTATATTCTTCGAGGTCTTCGCAGTTTCTGACAGTGGTAACTACTGTAATGACATCCGTATATTTCAAGCACATTTGTGATAGTTCAATCGATAGTTGTTGGAGTACAGGGTGGAATGTGGTGAGGGGGAGATTAACCTTAAGGAACAC